GGTAGGTAGGTACACTTTCGATACTTATTTAAGAGAATAAACTATCAGCGCCTGACACCGCCTTGAACCATCTGTCTGAATGAGCATGGAATAATTCTGAAAAGGCTTTGCTATCCTAATTCACGAATGGGAAAATAGGCATGATGCACTTACAAATCGGACGACAGTAGTTGTTCACGAAGTTGACGAAAATCCACGCGAAAACCACCGGAAAAGTTAAATCTAAAAACGTACAAACTTCTTATAAAAAGGCGGTTGGAGGCACGCGAAAGTTGGGCCAATGAGCGTCGAAGCCAAAGGCGTTTTGAGTAAACTGACCAATCAACATAATGTACCTATTACGTCATAGTATGAGGCAACCAATCTACGCGCAAGGGCCGCATGCTCCCTGTTTATCCAGCAAAGGATTCAGATTGAGTCTGATTTAACAAAAAAGATTCAAATTTAAATTAACTCAAGAATAATCCTAGGTGTTTGATATTAAATAAACAAATATATTAATACAAAATATTATCCCAAATGCAAAGAACAAATGTATTGCGGCAATGAATCGCTAGTCATGATTCATGAATGGTGGATATGCCTTCGATTCCAAACACCACTATCCGTCGCACAGAATAGGAAACGCTCCGAAATTTCCGCACTCACACACTTTCCGCACTCGATCTCAAAAGACGTGAAATTTCGGGACACTCCGAAAACTCTTAAATCGTTCAAAAAATGAAAAATATGGGTATATCCGCCTTCTAAATCCGAGGACACCAAAACTGTCCGTGAATGTGACATGGTGTCCTCACATTGCAGGTGTGCGATCACAAAATGACCCCAAAAGTGATGGCTTACAAGTACACACACACACACACACACACACACACACACACACACACACACACACACACACACACACACACACACACACACACACACACACACTCATACGTATTCGGTGATTAGTACAGTAGCTCCAACATAGGCGAAAATCTCAGTACAGTGATGTTAGGTACACACAAGATCAGGTCAATTCAAAATAGACATACAGCTACAGGAGCACGCAGACCCGCAAGAAATATCACGTAAGGTAGCGCTGGTATCAGCGAGGCATAATCAAAAACTCGGGTTCAGTGTTGTTCCAAATAGAGCCATGGCAAAATGTGGACCCAAAGACCCGGTTCCTGGAAATTTTCTGACGGGTCCAACCGGGTCATACCATAAACCAGACATCTTGCACACTACACATGATTGCAAAATATGAAGTGAACGGAAAAAACATTTACTCATGTATGAATTTCTTTGCACACTGTAGCTCATGAGAATTCCCAGTGGGAAAAAGCTGTTTTACATGATGCAACTGATGGTTAGGTATACCTACAAATATTTTGAATTAATTGACTTTTGGGGAACGGGTCCAACTGTTTCCGATTCCAACTTAGACCGGGTCCGACTGGTTCCAGAAATGTCCAGTCGGGTCTGGTTCGAGTCTGGTTCCCAAAATTTGCACCTTTTGCCACCTCTAGTTCCAAATTCGGACCAAGTGCGAAATTGATCTCAGCTGGGCAAGGGGTTTTCGGGCTAATGCACGGATCAGTGCTAGATTTTCGAACATAAATCATCCTCGTGAATCGCCACGTGCCAACATGAGAATAGCGCACTTCTATCAGGATGTTAGAGGCATGCATCTCCTATGTACGTACAGCATTGTCTGTACATGTTAGCCAATAGGCGGCATAGACCATTGTGAGCATGAAGTGAAGTTGCAACCCGTTCAGGACAACGATCTCACTGAATGAGTTGAAGATAGGTGTCTAAGATCTCTCGACAAAGTCGCTGACATACACGTGCATTCTAAAACGAGTCTCAGCTCGACGGATTCTCATTCCATTCCGCCCTCGTGACAATAGCTAGCAGAGCAAAATCGCCAGAAATAATGCATACGTGGTTACATTCGTCTAGACACCTTGTCCTGGTGAGACTTTCACACTGCACGTATAGCACCATTCCTGCGTGGGATTGAAGACATTAAGCCACTCCTCTGGGGTTGCTTCGGCCCTCTCTGCGGCAGGTAGATATCTTGCTTTATTACGTCCCCGGTGAATAATTCACAACGCCATTCATTTTGATTAGGTGGAGGTACGATAAGGATGTAACCGGGCATTGCAGATCAGGATTTAGCTCCCACAGGTGAGTGCTAAAGCTATGCTATGTGGGAATAGCAGAGAGGTGTGCTGACTCCCCAAGGAGTTTGATGAGCGATGTGGGGCTCTATATATGACCGGAAGGTGAATGAATGCCCGAGTCTTTGCTTTGGGAACTGTCTGGAGTAAATCATGCCCCTTGAGCATCGGAATGTATGTAATGCTATTTACAATCTGCATGGAATGGAATGGAATGTATCGGAATGTAATAAATGAATGCCTATTTCTCCCAGAGCAATGCCTAAGGTTTCCAATAAGGGCATCAATTGGAATAAGCCTTCATGCAGCATTTACTGCCTTTTTGCTGTTCCAAGAGGCATTTTAAACCAATAAAAGCTCTCATACTGAATAGCAAAAGATATTGAAGTTATGGATCTTTTTCAGACAGACAGCGCATGACTGTCACCATTAACTCACACTGGTTCAAAAAAGAAAAAGAAAAAAAGAAACGAGAGTATAGTTAAATGTATTCACTGGACAAACCAAGCGCTAATGTAAGGACTACTAATGTCACAACGGTTTGATACGTCTTGAATAAAAGAGGGTTTTACATAACAACGCAAGTGTTTGACTTTACATTGTGCTGCATGCGCAATGGGATAGAAATATTAATTACGAAGAATACACACAGGACTGCTGTATCCCAAACAGTCCACAGAATGCCTTTTCAACGTTCAGCTTCTACATATATAAAACTGAGCTCTGTAGGTATATTGCGCTCAACTTTGTCTTGTTTGACCTTAATTGCGCCATCAGATCTGTAGGAAACGCCAGTACTCATTTATAGCTCGAAAATTGTGACGTGGCAGTTTTTTTTTTAATCAGCCCTACAGTGTTATTTTTCATGGATTGAAACTAACTGGATTAGAATGATAATTGAGTCAAGAGCCACGCTACATAGGTGAGTTCTTGCGTAGTTCTGAACTTCATTGGTACGTAGTACATACCTATCATATCACATGGAAAGGTAAGAATGCAGATTGTAAATAGCAATGCGTGCATAACCTCCAAACTTTGGCCATGTACAGTCCGCAGCAGAAGTAATGTGTGGTTTCAGTCATGGGTATGTTCTGCTTCTGAAGCCTAGGAACGATTAGCCAGACTGCAACGAGACTTTAAATGTAGCTTACATGTACGAGGAGGTACCCAAAAGTAACGGGAATCGTTCTCTGTAGGCCAAGCCAGTTGTAGCTCGGCATTGCCCTGCTAGGGGCAAACCAGTCTGGCCCCTGGGACTTAGTCTGCACCGTGAGGTGACGATATAAAGAGGCGCGGCCGCGTGGCGCACGTATTTATTGAAGCACTCCCGCCCGATCCGTCGTTTTTTTTATGCATAGCGGAACTGAGCAACAACGCGCATCTGTGAAATTTTGTTTCCTGCTGGGGAAGTCCGCGACTGAAACGGTTCCAATGCTTCAAGTAGCATACAAATATGCTGCCGTGAGCAAGACGCGGGTTTATGAATGATTTTCGCGCTTCAAAAGTGGTTAAATGTTATCCCAAAAGCGCCCCAAAAAAGCTAGCCAAGTGAAGTCAAATGTCAAGACAATGCTGATTTGTTTTTTCGATGCAAAGGGAAGTGTGCAAAAGGAAATTGTTCCTCCCTGGTCAAACTGCCAATCAGACGTTTTACTTGGACGTTCTGCGGCGTGTGTGAAACACGGTGAGACGAAAACTCCCCGACAGGTGGCGAAGCGGGGAGTGGTGATTTCATCGCGACAGTGTGCCAGCGCACACCGCCTTGAGTGTCAGACAATTTTGGGCAAAAAAAGCATGACCCCACGGATCCACCCTCCCTATTCACCGGATTTGGCACCCCGTGACCTTTTCCTGGTCCCCAGAATGAAAAAGACCTCAAGGGAAACCATTTCGACGACTTTGATAAGGTAAAAGCAAACACGACGATGGCTCTGCAAGGCATCACCTTGCAAGAGTTCCAGAGCTGCTTTGAGGGCTGGAAAACGCGTCTGCATAGGTGCATTGTCTCGCAGGGAGAGTACTTTAAGAATGACATAAGTGACGATGTGTAGGGATCAGTGAATAAACAGCTATGAAACAATTCCCGTTTCTTTTGGGTACCCCCTCGTATCTTCACCCTTGCAGCTACAACTTTATCTATTGACGTCTTCTATTCAATCAGTCCGCATTTAAAAATCGTCGGTCAAAGCCATCCGTTGAAATTGGTAAAACCGCACATTACTTTAGCGGTGGGCTGTACCTACTGGCTAGAACATCTCGCCACCCACTACTCGTTGCAGGAGGAGGGGGGAGAGGGGATGGCGACTGACATCAAAGGCCTCAGTCAATAAATTCCGGACCACTAGTCTCAGCGAGGCGCGAGACATGTCACATTTCAATCCTTGGACTATGCTGGCTAATGTAATGGACCGCCGTCCACGAACGCTCTGCTACTTACCCCTACATGTATTGTACAGGGTGTCCACGTCAAAAGTGTACCCACACTTTTCTCCGTATTTTACCTTAAAAACATCACACTCACAAACAATTGCCGTCATTTGAGAGTCTAGACAATGGCAAAACATTTGCTATGCTTTTTAACTGTGCTTGGAACTCTGCTGACCACTGCGTGCCGTCTAGAGCAACTGCTCTTTATGAGCCCCTTTGCGTTGTATGTACATGTTACGATTCACCCTACTCTCCCCTACCTTTAGTTCACTTCAAATGTTGAGACACTATCCTAAAAAAATATGTACCCACCTATGCCGGCAGGAGTCCAGGATTACCCATTTCGAAGATCGCGGCTTCAAGATGGAGGAGGCACAGTGCTGCCGCCAGGCGGCCAATTGCACAACTGATAACTCCACCTGCCTGCCGACGGTGGCGTTGCCGGCGCTCTGCGAGACTGTGACATGTCTCGGGGCGACGGCCGAACCCATCGCCATGGCTTGGCTTCCGTGGCTGGTGTGGACTGTGGCTTTCTGTCTCATGTTGGCTGTCGCCATCGGCGGCAACAGTGTCGTCTGCTGGATCATTCTAGGTGAGAACCCGACGCGGATGTGGTGTCTTAGGACTTAGGTGTCGCCCAAATAAGGCAATCGAACTGTTGGAGGTCAATGATATTCGAGGCAGCCGTATGAGAACTGCTGTTTCAATTAAAAATGTAAGGCAATGGCCGGAGTTTATAAGGTATCCGAACCGGATGAAGCCAAACATTCGTCTGACTGAGCTGCTGTTTCACCTAGAAATGTAATAACAACGGACGTCTAGGCATAACATTGGTTCAACAGTCACAAGCACTACAGACTACTGTGTAGTCCAGGAAGCAAATTTTATATGCATTTATATTTAGTTGAACGTTGGAACCAATCATGGGAAACCTCAAACTCCATTGCGTCAGCCAGCTTCAATTTGATTCAGCAACAAAAGCCCGCATAGAGTAAGCAAGGCAATTTTAAATCGAAATCAGGATCAATCGGTTTCACATCACCCAAGCGTGTGTTGTCGGCTACATGCTCTTTTCAGGTTTCTTATTTGAGGTATGCCAGAGCTGGGCCTTTTCGACTGAGCTGCAGTTAGCTACGACACGAAAGGCAATATTTGTTCAGTCTATTGTTAGACGGCAGGAGTTGACTTACGTCCTCTCTCCTCTCTCTCTCTCCCTCCCTCTCTCTCTCTCTCTCTCTCTCTCTCTCTCTCTCTCTCTCTCTCTCTCTCTCTCTCTCTCTCTCTCTCTCTCCGCAGCCCACCGGCACATGCGAACCGTGACCAACTACTTCTTAGTCAACCTGAGCGTGGCAAATCTGCTCATGTCCTGTCTCAACTGCTCCTTCAACTTCATCTACATGCTGAACACGGACTGGCCATTCGGCAACACCTATTGCATCATCAGCAACTTCATGGCCAACCTGACGGTGGCGGCCAGCGTCCTGACACTGATGGCTATCGCCCTGGAAAGGTGAGGAGAGAGAGAGAGAGAGAGAGAGAGAGAGAGAGAGAGAGAGAGAGAGAGAGAGAGAGAGAGAGAGAGAGAGAGAGGGAGAGAGAGAGAGGAGGGAGGGAGGGAGGGAGGGAGGGAGGGAGGGAGGGAGGGAGGGAGGGAGAGAGGGGGAGGGAGGGAGAGAGTGAGGGAGGGTTAAAGGGAGGGAGTGAGGGGGAGGGAAGGAAAGAGGGGAGGGCAAGGAAGGGACGATAGATAATAGCCGTTTTCACGACGGCCATCTGGTACACATTTGGTGCACACCTGGTGCAGACAGGTGCAGATTTGGTCAAATCAGGTTCAGTGTGTCTCTTAGTAACTATCAGCTAGGGTTGCACTATTTGCTTATATGCCTGCTTTGTCATATTATCAGAGAGTATCATCGATTAGAACACTGAAATAAATTAATAAAATGAAGATATTTGCTGTAAAAGAAATTAGGTGCAGATTTGGTCAAATCAGGTGCACTCGCCGGATAGGCCGTCGTGAAAACGGTTAATAAGATAGATAGATTGATAAATTGATAAATAGATGCATTGCATGGATAGATACAAAAAGACAGATGGAAACGAAATACGACCATTTATAATTCAAACCTTTCTAGTTTCTACTAGAGCGTATCGCGTTTAGCCAGTCATTATAATTACAATGGATTCAACAAATGATGAAAACGTGTTCAAATGGTCGCACAGCAAACGTTTAAGTACCTTGCTAATCAGGAAGAATTGAAAAGGCCTTTGTCTGAACCTGTCTTTCATTTTATTTCTATAAAAAGACGGGACATTTTTCATATCCAGGTACGCGAACTTACCTAGTACAATGGTCGTAGAAGAGGTCAGGTATTGTCCTTCTTGATTTCCGGCGGCAGCAATCTGCTATTTTTGCAGCCAACATGGTAAAAAGTTCTCATCGCATCCATCCGGGCTGTTATTGCCGGCATTGTGCGCATATGCAGTCAGCACATCCGAGAACAATTAGTCCAGGATTTCTAGAGAAATTATTATGCTTCAGCTACGCTTATAAGGCGGGTACCTAATCTCTGCATAATAACGGTAGGTTTTTGCCTCTGGTAGCGGCGTGAGTCGTATCAACTGTCATCATCTCCGTGGCCTTTAAGGTGTAATTACGTCGGAAATATCTTTTATCATTCAGCCTGCGCAATATAACGCATTTATACTAAACGCTCTAGCTATTAGATAAATATTTGCAAATAGTCTAAGATAAAGCGATGAAGATGTCAGGTAGAATTGATGCTGGAACTGCACGATGATCATTTCAGGTAGGTGCTAGATTGACATGTTCCAAGCAGAATGCATTGGCAAGGAATACCTATATCCTTGATTTAGGAAAGAGGCATGGGAGGAATATGATAAAAATTAGTTAGAAAAACCCAGCAACGATATTTTTGTACATTGAAGCTATAGTATCCTAAACCAGTTAGTTTCGATATGTCTAAGAATCATTTAACCTTCAGCTAATGAAATGAAGGACGAAAACGCTTTGGCAGTAATTGGGCAATGGGCATATCGCCTGTTGTAGAAATACCTAAATAAATGAATTGAATAAAATAAAATTAGTAAGTGCAGTTGCCGATGTCTATTGACAGAGGTATTAATGATAAAAGTACTCATATCCATCACGTCTAGATAAAGGCGTAAGTTGTGATAGGCAAAACCACCCGTTTGGGGAACTCAGACAACGGCTGCCTGCCTGTATTTTTCACAGAAGCTGTTTTTAAGGAGCTAAACAATGTTCGAACGATGCCTCTTGGCAACATTTCCTCTTTTTTCTCGCGAGTGCACCAGCCAATTTAATAAAAAGGACGTTATCCCCAGCGCCGCCCGCATGTAAACATCGAAGAAGCCGAGACAACTTTACAGGGAGAAGAGAAGAAAGAGGGCTAACATTAGCGTCGACGGGAGCGACGAGTTGTCTCCAGTCTCGGAAAAATCAACATCCGATGCCTGATTTGGATAGAAGCTTCAGACGAACAGTGACGTCAACTGGCAGTGTCTTCCTGATTTACTTCGACACCTGCTCACTGATCAGGCTGTGTTGTTCGAGTGTGCGCTGTCAAAGGCCCGTAGACAATATGTCGCCTGGGGCACGTACAGCCGTCAGATTCAATGAGACAATGGGCCACGAAGGTCTGTAGCCACGGCTATTTATAATTCCCACCAGGGACCTGCTGTCGCGGGGACCATACAAACATAATCACGAGGTGCAACACAGACAATGTCAACAGCCAACACAGCAGTCGCAGCAAATATAGCGGCATCAGCACCAAACTTGTTTAATATCACGACGCTGCAGACGGCTGACAAATAGAACTCTTGCACAACGCCTTTTTACGGTGTCAGCTTAAACATGCACACGAGAAAAAAAAACGAATAAACCGGTCGTAATCACGGTGCTTGTTTTATCCAAAAAAGTGTTTGTCCGATTCCCGCCGTCAGTCCTTCTTCGCATTGCTATTTCTCATCCATTCTTCGGGCAATACGCCGTGGAATAGCGTTGTTTTATGGATGAAGTAAAAACATTCGCAAAGAGGCATTGCATAAGATATTGAAAACGACATGCTTAGCCCGGCAGTTGCTGGGGTGGCGAGAGGCGCCCAAAAAGGCAATGGGCGCCTCTCGCCATAAACTCTGTCAAAACGGTGCACAATCCATCTTATAAGGCCTACAAGAGTGTCAGCTCCATATAGGGGTCAGTCAAGCATAGGTCAGGGTCAAGGTCAGGTCAACCGGGTAGGCACATATCCCCAAAAATCAAAACTGATATTCGCAGCCTGTGACACATGTTTTATAGGTAATTGGGGGCGTAGAACACGATGGTGACATTCATTTTATCATATATGTACGTGTTTGACTCAAAAAGTTCAATTTAAGAAATTCATGTATGTATCATGGTCGTGAAGTAGTCACGAAAAATTGCCAAGATTCAGTTCAAGATTTTGGAAAATGCGGAACGATAATCAATAATCGAAGATAGCCATTTGATTGATCATGGTATTGGCAGTCTAATGGCGTTTACGGCATGTCTGTATGTCTATTCTGTGATTTTATATGCTTTTTTGAACATATGCCGTTTTTGGTCGAAAACTCAGAAATCATGACGTCCCTAAAACCTCGATATCTCAAAAATTTCCAACCGATTTTTTTTTTAACTTTGTCACAGTAAACTTCAATCAATTCCCTACAGGTACCCAAAATTTGATGGCCCGGCGAAAAAAGTGGGGGCGTTTAACGCCCCCCCCCCCCCCAGCAACTCGCGGGTTAATTGCGATCAATTTTACATCGATTGGTTGGCATGTCGGTCGTGCACGTCATGCCATCTAAATATACTGCTTTATGATTTAATCTTAGTTTCGCCTTCCGTGTCCGATGGAATTCCGAAAAAAAAAACTAGATAGAAAACATCTCAATAGAAGATTAAACAAAAACAAACTTTCGATGTGTTCCAGCCTTGTAGGATCTCGCTTGATGTGAACAGGACCCTTACGTCGAATAACTAGCCTCTTTTCCCAAATAAAGTTAAAATAAGGCGGGAAAACGAAAATGTATGGTCATCTAAGGGTAAACACCACCTTTTGTTCGATATCGACATCTCACATCGGTAGGGCCGCTAGCGACTGCAGCGCGGCGTGTGCCACTACCACCAAACCTGTACTGGTAGACTGTACCGCAGTGTCTGCCGGTGTTGCGGCACAGTCTACCAGGCTGCAGCGCTGCTGCGCGGCGGTGCCGGCGAGGATAATATTGAATGGCAGAGGCTGGCGGGATTGTTTTTGACTGTAGGGATATGGAGAGGGAGGGAGGGAGAGAGGGAGAGAGAAAAAGAAAGAGAAAAAGAAAGAGAGAGAGAGAGAGAGAAAGAGAAAGAGAGAGGGAAAGAAAGAGAGGGATGCATGTAGGACGGGTAGAAACAAAGACAGATAGACAGACAGACAGACAGACAGACAGACAGACAGACAGACAGACAGACAGACAAACAAACAGACAGACAGACATAACGCACTACGCAGCTTGATGGAGATGGCAAACAAATCGAGGGGTCCTCTGTAGCATCTTTCCAGTGACTACCACCCATTTATTTCAACTTAAATAATTTCACCGCACCCGTAGACAAAGACTTATCGAATCCAACCCCTCACATAATTCCTCCTGTCAGACAAATACCATGTAATGCCTTAAGCGTATCACCAGCAGGCCTCCCGCAGCCCAAACATGACAGAAAGTAGCAATTATGGGCCGAAACAGCCTTATCACTATACCTGGAAACAGTTCCAGACATCAGACCCGCCGGCCGCCACCATGGCAACCTCATCTCAAACCATCTGCGCAATAAAACTAAAAAATGTAGCAAATGCGGGCTGTCGGGCTGCTGGCTTGTGAATCGCGGCCTGTCACAGCCCACGTAGAGATGGAAATGACATAAAAATGAAAACATGCCCACGTGATTTCTGCTCACGGTCACACCTTCGCGTTCTGGACAAACACGAGATTTAGACAACTACGGGTACACGCCAGGCTTACACAAAGAAGCGTGATCAAAACATTGTTTTCCTGCTCACTGCATTTATCATGCATAAGCTGCAAATGTCACTGAAGACTCTGTGATGGGTCTGATACAACGAAACCATCACCACACTCCCGAATCAATTCATGTTCAAATCTCCCACGGCAATGGCTTCGGAGAAAAGCTCACGGAGAAAATCGAGTTAGAGTGTTGCTAAGGCAGCCGCTCCTCCGTCTCACTTGAAAAGTGCTGCCGCGCCGTCGCTTCGCCCACCTATGGTCGTTCCCCGGTCGCTGATATTCATACGGACTGTACCTGGTCGAAGCCAGGTCACCGGGGACGAGCGAGTCGACCTAAGGAGCCCACGGAACGAGCCCGCCAGAAAACTTGTCCGACATTCACTGCCACGTCGAATGGAACGCTTTGTGAAGTCCCACCGGGACCCGCGGGTCGACAAGTTAGCGGCTGTTGCAGGCAAAGCGCACGTGGCTATGTTGTTGCACCACTTTTTCGTTGGCTTGTGATCATTGATTAACGACGTTGTGGGGTGTCTTATAAAGTTTGATGTAAGCATGGTAGGAGGTAAGTTATTCAACAGGCACTTTGCCATGAAGTTTTCACGCTGGCAAGCGCTGATCCGTGTGCACACTGCACAGTCGCCGAAATTGAGCCGTGAGGTTTGGGACATGAGTTACAGGAACCAATACAGCTGTTGAAAAACACGGAACAAATAGTGCATGGACGCGTTTCGATTATTAAATCTTCATCAGCATGACATAATCACAGAGAAAACAAGATATAGCACACAAACATTCGAGCTCGTCACAGTGCAATCGTCTTGATTTTCTGAAATTTTTGATTTGAAATCAAAATCTTGATTTTTTGAAATCAAGACGATTGCACTGTGACGAGCTCGAATGTTTGTGTGCTATATCTTGTTTTCTCTGTGATTATGTCATGCTGATGAAGATTTAATAATCGAAACGCGTCCATGCACTATTTGTTCCGTGTTTTTCTACTTGTCTCCATCAATATACAAATACAGCTGTTGTTTTATTCAGCTTTGAAGTACCCCTCACCGGAATACCAACCCTAATGTGAAATGCCAACACATCGCGTTAGCATGTATGCCAGGCACGATGTGCGCTTTGTCCTGTCACTTACGTAAGCCTCAAGTTAAGGCCAGCGAAAGATGCCTGATCTTCAGTTTCAGCTACAGCTAATAAACCCATAAACTACCCACTTAGGCCACTTTCGCAATCCGTTATTATGGTTCAATAACACAAGGCAACTTCCTCATAGCTCCCAAACGTCATGCTTACTGCAATTACAATTACTGTAGGCTGTTCAACGTATTTTTGCCGTTGACTCTGTTTGAAACCGATCGAAACTTAGCCGCACATGTTCCCATCGTTCGTAGTGTAAAACATGACAAAAGAAAGGCCCTGCTTGTGGATTTGGCCGCCGCAATCTGGCCAAACAAGCTCAGTCATAACTCATAACCTACCCTGCCTCCCTCAGATACGTCGTGATCCTCCACCCGCTTCGGAGACGTCTGAGCAAACGAGGTGCTGTCGGCGGAATGATTGGAATTTGGACGGCCAGCGCTCTGCTGTCGGCCCCTTGCCTGCTCTACTCACATGTCGTCACGCATGTGTAAGTATCGACGCGGTCGTGCGGTGGAACACGTGTTGGAAACACACACATCAACACGATCGTGGGCTGGGACACGTGAGGAAACACATATATCGACACGATCGTGCGGTGAAACACGTAGGGAAACACATATCGACACGATCTTGCGGTCATACAGTTGGGAAACAGTAAACACACATATTGAAACGATGGTGGGGTGAAACGTAGGGGGAGGGTGGAAGACAAACACGAGCACTCCACACGATCGTGGGACACAGGGATTATCGACAAGCTCTCGTGGGAAAACCGGTGTGTCGGTTCAAGTAAGAAAACCCGCCGGGCATTGATTAGGTGGTCAGTCAGGCACAGGCGTGGGAGCGAGACGGTCAGCTCATCTATGAGTAACTACACTTCCTTGACATCAAGCACGCATGGAGTACCGACCTAAATACCGACCCATGTCGTCAAAAAATGCATAGACAGCTATGCAAGTATGCATATTCCAATACCATCGGACATCAGGGTGTGACGACTGACAAATGGTTTCGCTAAGCACTGATGTGACACTTGTCGTCACTTAGCATTGATGTGACGACTGGCTTCGCTAAGCATACATTGCTCTGACGATTGAAGCCACCAGACATTGACGTGACATCACTGGTCGTTACCGCAGGTTCAGCGGCGGTGAGATCAAGCGGGGCTGTCTGGTGGAGTGGCCCGGCGACCCAGAGGTCAAATCATTCTCCGACTACGTGTGAGTACCTAGTACCTAACAGTAGTACTCGTAGTAGTAGTCCCCGGGGATACCGTAGAGAAGGGGAGAAAATAGAAGCGGGAAGAAGTGTCGCAGGATAGATAGGTGAAATTAGGGTGCGTAGTGCTTTTTGTTACAGGAATAGCGAGGGGTTTATTGAGTTTGAATGTCTGTTTCACTTCATACTGGCCGGTGTTGGGCTGTAATTTAGGCCCCGTAATTTGTTCAGCATTCAAGGGCTGATAAACCGTGGTCATATCGAATTAAATACTAAACATAGGTGGTCTTTTGCTAGTGGCAATCGCCCACCCGAGCTTGCTGACAAATTGATAGCGAACTAGGTTATTTACAGTGCTTTTTTGGAACGGTCTCAAGCGAAAACTCCCACAATGTTACTATGAATCTTCTTCGGTATTCATTTTTATCATGTATCATATAGTGTTTATCTTCTTTCCATGGTCGTTACATTCGTTAGGTACTACTCAAACTTGATTTCATTTTGAGTGTGTAGTTGATAAAACTGCTCTGACCCGACCGGACGTCACGCGCAGGTACAACATGGTATTCCTGATAACCACTTACGTGCTGCCGATGCTGGCCATGGCTGTATCCTACGTCATCATCGGTAAGTGGAAGAACCAGGAGAATGTAGAACCAGTGAACTAGTAGAATAGTAGAACCAGTAGATGGACCAGTGTAATGTATGTAGGACCAGTGAGCCAGTAGAATAGTAGAACCAGTAGATAGACCAGTGTAATGTAGAACCAGTGAGCCAGTAGAATAGTAGAACCAGTGGAAGAACCGGTAGAATTGGAAATCAATAGAACCAGTGAAAGAACCGGTAGAATTGGAAATCAATAGAACCAGTGAAACAAGTGAAAGTGAACAAGTGAAACAGTATAATGTAGAATCAGTGAACAAGTAGAATGCTGGAGACGGAGGAAGAGCCAATAGAATCGGCAATACAGCGAGCCAGTGCCAGCGGAAACCAGGGCGAACTGGCTACCTTGCATGTGAATGAAGAGCACCGAAGGGAGCTTAAAGTTGGAGTGCAGTTCCGTTCAAACTTTGAGTGACTGGGATATCGTTTCGGCCGGCCGGTCAGTGCGGTATTTCCCACGGGGCAGCGCAGTTCCATGACTAGTCAAGACCCATTCTTGACGTCAAGGTTAAGTCTTTTATACTGCGCACACCGAACAGTCTAAATGTAAAATATGCGGCATATATGCAGGGCTTAATAAGTAGCGAACTACGCGGATGAAAAACGTTATTTGAGAGAAAAAAAAAACAGCTGCATGACCAAATAAAAAGTTGAACGCTACACCTGTGCGAGCACGAAAGTCCGTGATAAGCGTCCGTTATGCTATCGCTACGTCTGGACTTGGAGCCATCAATATAAAAAATAACCATATGAATTCATTAAGGTAAATAAATCTGAGTTCTTTTCTAATATGCATAAAGCTCAGGGTGCGCTTGGTAAGCTCAGCTTTACATAGGCATGCTGCATATTGTTGAAATTCATACATAAAATTACCGAACGCTTACATGTGACAGAAAGACATGCAAGCTTGTTTTCTATTGAAAGTTATTAAGTAATGATAAATTTACTTTCTTTGCTAGAAACGGCTAAATTTCATCCGATTTGAACGCTACGGGAGGGCCAACCGGCAAAAGCCTCGAATACCTCCCTCGGAAACCGCCTGTGGCATTATTTTCACTCTCGAGCACTTCAACTGTAAGCAAAACAACTATTTTGGGAACAATCTAGCGCCTGATGTGATCCAGTAAGCTTAAGTTTCAACTTCCAAGGCTAAGAATAGTCACCGTTCACCCCAACTCTTTGCAACGTCCAAAGTCAGCACAACTTCACTAATCACCAATATAATTGAGCTCCCAATCAGTAAAGGCATCTAGCATGAACACACAAACAACGCAGTCTAATTTAATCGTGCACAATGGTGATGAAGGACAATGATAAATGATAGCCACTTTGTGACACAGTCAGCTGCATTAATTCTGGCTTTATCGCAGCATTCAAACTTCACAACGCACCTTCTCTTCAACCTCCCAATCCTCCGCCTCTCATGCTCCAGTGCAGTGTTCGCCATTACATTCCACCCGCCATGCGCACACAAGCATTCCCTGTGTCCCTGTGACCCTGTATCCTGTATCCGTCTGGTCTAAAACAGCCCTACTTCGCTCCCTCGGAGCCATCGGCACACCCGGTCAGGCCACATTGGTAAACGTTCACCGAATAACAATGGGGCATTGTGAGCCCACCGATGCGGTGCATTGCGAGCACGCTGTAGACCGGTCGCTAGGTGGATGGAGACTGGAAAGGCAGTCTCTGGTGGCATGAGGGACTTTGGATGGCCTAGCGAGGGGGCTTAGTGGGGCTTAGGAGGGCTCACAGGCGCTCAATATGCTGGCAGGCTTTGAAGCTTCGATCATAGCAGCTACAAATCAAAATTGTAAATTGGGTGTTTGCTCTGTTTTAGGGAAATTTAGTCACATACATCTTGCATGCATATATGTATGTAGGTACCTAGACCAGCAATAATATATATTAACACATGGTTTCCCGTGTGTAAATGGTTTTAACGCACAACGTGGATGGATTGGAGCACGAGTGTGTTAATGCACGAGTGAAACGAGTGCATTAACGCACGAGTGCTCCATTACGTACAAATATATCAAACGCGTTATTACGGAGCGAGCGAAGCGAACGTAGTCTTTCCTTAGATTAACGGAAATTTCTGAGTATGAGCGGCCGGCCGGCCGGCCGGCCGGCCGGCCGTGGTCACGCTTTTGCGAGGCTTATATCTCAGCAACCACTTGACCGATTTACACGCGGTAATTTTCGTAGGGTAGCTTCATTCCTTCTACCAAGTATTGGACTATTCCCGATGCATGTGGGTGACCCCTTATGCACGTGCCACGTGCAAAACGAAGAGGTGTCACTTTTGTAATTGTTGCAATATCTCGGTAACTACTTGGCCGATTGCGCTGAAAGTTGGCATGTAGGTAGGCACCCACTAGGCACTGCATATACATGTGCCAGAGTTGGGGTGCTGCTGCACGTGCGCACGTGCAGGGGTCGTTTCCAGATCTCGAGAACGGCTGGACCGATTGCGCTCAAATTTGGTACACGGTTAGGGACCGGTTAGTAGGGTGCCGTGCACAAGTCAGTTGGGACCCATTTTGCACGTGCGCACGTGCAGGGTGCCGCTTCCAGATCTCGAGAACGGCTGGGCCGATTGTGCCCAAATTTGGCACATCGCTAGAGACCAGTTAGTAGGGTGCCGTGCACAAGTCAGTTGGAGGTACCCCCTCGCAATTTCGCACGTGCAAGGCCCACCCTCTCGCTCGCTCCGTTAGTCGCCCCAAAAGGCGTTATACTGGTTTACGTACAAATATATCAAATCACAAACCAATCACGGCAGAGCTAAATAAAGATCACTGCTGCCTAATATGCTTGTTACATGATATCAAAAGATCATCAAACATTGATTACATAATCAAGATAGAAAATAACTGAAGATATCATATGTGGGTATGCAATTTTCAAATAACGAATGTGATGATAGTAAAACTGGTACGTGTCTTATTACCAATTGTCCATTGTAAATAAGTACCAGGCTTTTTAAAATTCATACGTTATCTTAATATACAATATACATATATGACTGTTAATATGAAAGTCAATCCCTCTCCTAAATGTAGTTCTCATCAGTTGTTAACGAGTTGATGTTGACAAAATGTGTGGCCTTGGTGATAAGACGGCGATTTGGCCTTAATAAAGTGTAAACTAAATTAAATAGTTCTTGCTCAATTAAGTGCCCGCTAAACGAATAGCCAACAGATGAGTGAAGCATAAATCACCCTATTACCGCCAACAGCCAACTACACGTTATCTAGCGGCCTCAGCAACAAGCTGACTTGCCATTTGACGAAGCCTTGGTGGTGCATTTGGCAAGGTGTCAGTTCCAGGGACTGGAGGACCCGGGTTCGATTCCTGGTGCCGCCCATTCCCCTCCCGTGATGCTAGCAAAGCCAAACCTCGCTCCCCTTGTGTGATCTACCGTTTATTTTATGATTGTCTAAATAAAGTCGGCCCATGGTAAGGAATGGATCTCCAACGCAAATAATGTTGCGTGCAAGTCAAGTAAATTCCACTTACGGGGCGAGAATGCCATCGCCCCTGGCTGACTGAAGGGTAAATGAATAGTTAACAGTGTCCCTGGGTGTGCCTTAAAGCCAACCACCTTGGCTCAGTATCCAGTTAGCGGAAGCGGTTGATTAGCTTTTTACTGAGCAGTTTAAAGTAGTTAGATCTGTTTAACGCTAACATTGCATGGTAAAATGCTTATAGAATATGTATACGCTTGTCCGCAGGTCGGGAGCTGTGGGGCAGCAGAAGTATCGGTATTCAGACAGAGCGACAACTGGCCTGCGTCAAATCCAAACGGAAGGTGAGCAACGATCGCGGGAAGGTACGCTAACAAACGATCGCCAGTCGAAGATCGATTCCCCCCACCCCCACCCCAGCCCATTTGGGGCTAAATTAAGTTTAACATACTGCAGCAAGCATGTTCTAGTGAAGTGTGTTTGGCTGCTAAAGAACAACGAACAAATACTCTACCAATGGTCACCAGGTGACCATTCGTAGTGGAAATTCCACACTAATAGAGTCCAGGGCCATTCTTAATTTGACATCATTCCTCAATTTGCCGGTTTTGCATGGCTGGTGGCAGACGATCATGGCAAATACATATAGAGAAACGTTATAATCGTTGCACTCGATTATGCAAAATGGATGTCGTTTCAGCCTCATTATTGTACAATGATCAGTTTCAAACGATCGGTCAATCAAAATTACCGTGCTGTCAGCTGCGCGATTGGTATTGATTAACGATTATGGATTTTTAACTATGCACAAAACGAGGAAGGAAATTGCAATGAGAACACATAGAACAGAGAACACCATTCCAACATAATTTCATTCATATTCTACGAAATATCATATTTTAGTGTGACATAATATCGTGATTAATAACAGATAAACACGGAATTGAATAATGCATTTTTTATTGTGCGAAAAAAATGGTGTTTAACTGTTAAGCAAATAATACCATTTTACTTTTAATTTCACCCCCCCCCCCCCCACCACCACCACCACCACTGCTACCGCATGCCAAACATTTTCTCACCCGTAAAATAGATGTTTCCTTGAAGCACAGGAGGCTCATTTCAAACATAATCAAACAACCACAAACACACCATCATACTTCACTGCTAAGTACACGGATCCAATCCTCTTCGAGCTGGTTCCGCAAACTAAAGGCTCTCTTCAGTTCTGCATCGTGTTGTGGGAAGGAGGATCACTTGTATCCGGTACGCGTGGTGCGTAATTGAATTTGTGCAAACAGGTAGAGAGTGAATACATGGAGGATTGAAAGTGAGAGGGAAAGTTGAGAGTGAGAGGAAGAGAGTGAGTGAGTGAGTGAGTGAGTGAGTGAGTGAGTGAGTGAGTGAGTGAGTGAGTGAGTGAGTGAGTGAGTGAGTGAGTGAGTGAGTGAGTGAGTGAGAGAGAGAGAGAGAGAGAGAGAGAGAGAGAGAGAGAGAGAGAGAGAGAGAGAGAGAGAGAGAGAGAGAGAGAGAGAGAGAGAGAGAGAGAGAGAGAGAGAGAGAGAGAGAGAGAGAGGAGTTGACACTCGTTCCGTATTTTCAGATCGTGAGGATGTTCATGATCGTGGTGGCCACGTTTGCGATATTCTGGCTACCCTACCAAGTCTACTTTGTCTACATCTACCACGACAGCTCACTGAAGAGCAAGCCCTACGTTCAGGTGAGTCTGGGAAGGAAACACGGTGATATGCATTACCCGTAGTCCTTAGAATTTAGATCCTGTGCATGAATGGTAGTGTCAAATTGTAAATGGGGTGGAATGTGGTTTAGTGATAGTGTGGCATTGCGGATAGTCTGCCGGGGTATAGCCAAGCCCGTCTAGCCTCGCCTGAAATGGGAAGACCGGTAATAAGGCATACATCAAGCTGAAAAAGGCACAAAATAAGAAAAAGCAATAGGTATTTGTGTTATGAGGTTATCGTTGGGTGGAGCCAACAAATACATAAATGAAAATATTTTTATTTTTATTAATAATTTGGCTCCACCGATAACCTCATAACACAACTATGCCCTTACATAAAAGCAATATTTTTAGTCATGCCAAGTCTCTTGAAGGCTCTATGTGAAGATGAAGCAGAGTAAAAGTATAAAAAAAAAAAAATGGTGCCGTTACCACGCACACAACGCGGGTGTGCGAAGGCCGAAGAGTCTGTGCAGCAGAGCTTAGTTCAATGGCCGGGTCTCGCAACTAAATGAAAAATAGCGACACCAGCAACAGTACAAAACAAAGCAATGTACACGTGCGCCTATCTCCAATATCCTAGCAAGCCTGTTTGTGAACTGTCTCAGAATGGTAACCAAGGCTGGCCGACCAAAATGAGAAAACGCAGCGTGTGGCCAATTCACATGTGGTCAACTGTAAAACTTAGCTCTGACCTAGCCGACCCGAATGAACACTGAGACGGCAGCAGCTGAAGAGGAGGAGCGGATAGACGATATGTGGTCCATCCCCCTTCAGCCTACAACGGGACGAGTGATGGTTGACCTGATCTGACCCGAAAAGTACCCCCAAATATAAAAATGCATCATTTTTTATAACAAAACAAAATGCGAAATTTGAAGTATGAATCTCGAAATACCACAGAAAACCCTCACTTCATGAAGTGCTAGTAAATCCCGAAGTTCCCAGCATTTGGTTCATTGATCTGACTTAGAAGGTCAACGGGTAAGATCACTTGGCCCTGCAGAGCAACGTCACTTCCACAGCGACACAGCAACACCGCTTTGCTCCGCACGGCAACATCATTTGGCGTCTGTGGCTTTGACTGGCACGGCCATTAATAAAATCCCGAGAGCAGAGGCGTGATCAAAGAAGGCAGCTCAGCAACTGCCGATTGAGTGGTTCGGAAAATAGGGCAATCAACTCATTTCAAAGCAGCTCTATACGGCGTGAGGACCATATCATTTGAGGGTTAAATGCCACAATCCACATGTTATTTAATTAAGTGTCATGCACCTTGCACATTTGCGAGTTGGATTCATATGTGGACCTATCATTAACACCACTGTATAGATCAGCTCAACCGAAAGGTCAAGGTGCATTGATTTTGCAACGAGCAGCTAAGGGCTGTGCACCGAATTTCAAATCACATCGGCATTTTCCAGAGAATCTGCGGCCCTCACGCTGCAAAACAAGATTGTCGTTTATTCTTTAACCATTTATTCGATTTGACGAAATTCAAGCAAACAGCTAGCTCACTGTACTCAACTAGCAGCCAGTAAAGTTATGGCACGAGAGTGGACCAGTTGGATTAACTAATAAAGTCAAGAGCAGGACCAACAGGGCTTATTAGTCCTCTTTACCTGCACATCAAGTACATCAAGTACATACATGATGTAGATATTTTGTCGCATCGTCGTTTTCTGTTCACAACATCTGTTCACTGTTCATGGTGTTCTGACGTTAACATGCTGACGGTATTTATTTAGTTCCCTGTTCACTACGGTGTTCACTGTGTTCTGCCGTTCACACGCTGACTGCATTTCGTTTCTTTTCCGCAGCACCTGTTTATGGTTTTCTACTGGCTGGCAATGTCGTATGCCATGGTCAACCCTCTCATCTACTTCTGGATGAACAAACGGTGAGGACTCCAATCCCTTTCAGATATACATAAACGGTGATGTATCTGCCTATATCGTCCTCATTCCTAACACACACACGATAACATCAAATGAGTCATTAGCACGTGTTATCAAACGGTTTGGGAGTTGTGGGGATCCAGGAAAACCGGTCCAACGCTTCAAACCATCAGCCGGGAAGGGTATCTGGGCACGTGTTACTACGTGTAGATCACCATCCGCTAATGCAGTTAGCGATTAGTTGGAAATGACATTAATGTTCAGCTAGATCACACACGGTCTGCCTGGAATTTCAGCAAACGCATTTCACCGTGGCTCCTAAAATAGGCGGACATAATGTTACAATTTAAGTAAGGAATAACTTAAACCGGAATCTCATCCAGAATTACGATGGTACAATTTTCCCAATTTTCCTCTAACGCTATGCAGTTAACACACTATTTTAGGTTGCAGTCATCGCACAGAACCACAACTGTGGAATTTCCGGATGCAAAAGCATGCTATAGCATGCTTTTGATCGCATGCTTTTGATCGCATGATCGCATGCTTTTGATCCTCCAATTCTGGATTATCACTCACCCTCACTGCACTAATGTTTCTCGAGCTCAGACCCACAATTTCACTCTCCCTTCTCTGCTATTTCGACAGGTTCCGGGCCTACCTGTGTCGCCTGTTTCGCTGCTGCGTGCCCCAGAACACACTCGAGTGTTTTGTTCCAGAGCCACAACAGTACTACGGCAACGGACTCAGAAGTGAGTACAGAGATGCCGGCAGGTCGTATGGTAAACACTTTCAAGAACACCTGGGAATTCAGGTGTGGGGGCATTTGAGACATTTTTACCCCTCTCGCAGCATTCGAGACTGACGAAATTTCGCTTTTTTATCGTATGGAAAGACAACTGAACAACTTTTGCCAGGAAAAGTTTGCTATAAACTGCACAGCGAGGCAACAGGAAGAGAAATTCGAGAAGCTGTCGAAAACTTGAGAGCATTTTTTGAGTGCGTAGCCCTCGCAACGTCTAAAACTTTTTTTCTAGAACCGCCAACCTGAGTGCTCACCGTTTCTTGTAGCACAGCTGTCAATTGTCATCTCAAACTCAATCACAGCGAATTCACGCACTTAACTTAGTCAGTAGGCTTTACCACCAGAGGGGGAGGGGCGATCGCGGTTTTCGAATGTGATTTCACACCACTTTTCGAATGTATTTTCACCTACCTCTCTTATCTACTCTCAACTTTACCGCAGTCTTGCGGATGCGGATGCGGAGCACATGCGGATGCTGGAGTTTTTATTGCCCACATGCGCTGCCACACATTGCGTAACACTAGGCCAAAGACTCATAATCTCCTGATTACATCACGTCTGCGCTCACAGCCAAGGTTTCCATGCCTAATAAGCCGAGCATGATGAGCTCATTTGCGTCGCTTGGAAACAACTGAGCCTGAGGGAGCCCAGCTGCCGTACCGTAAAAGCTCGCTAAGTAAAAGCTAGCTTTCATTACTGCTTCTTGCGTAATGATGATGTAACACACCATTTTACGTAGAAATCTTTTGAAACCCGGAAAGAAACACATGCGACCTGACTGCACTTACATGTTGATAGGACGTGAAATACGACCATGATATGACATTTCTACCAAACTTATCATAGCAATCAAAAGCAGAGTGATCGCATCACAGTGGCTCAGAAAATTCTCCAAAAAAACGATCAAAACTGATCTTCTATTACAAAAAAAATACTGATACCGTCTTGGTCTATTGCTAGCAACGAGGGTTCGGGTGCATGTTCTATACAAAGAATTTCTGAATGAGTTTCGACGCTCTAGTGAGCTTTATTTATTGGATACGCAGCACGACGAACAGACATGTGTAACCGCTCCCATCGCTATCCAGGGCATGTTCAGGATCGGTCAGATCACATCTCTCCGAAATGATCGGTATTCAGTGATCAGTTTGTTCACCGGAAAGATCAGGCAGATGCTTTCTAAAAAATTCGTGCGGGCATGAGGGTCCTCCCACATAAAATTGTGTTCGGCAGGGTCCGAGCTGATTTGTACGGGTCGCTCCCTAACTGGGCACTAACATCGGAGGCATTTATATAAGCTCAATCGCCCTAGCAGTTCTTGAGATGTAGAGGCGGTCTCCAATAGCATTCAACTACCGTGATACATTAAACTGCATTTTCCGATCGGTGTGCAACGATATAGTTTCAGCGTAATCGACGAACAGCCTTAATCGCAATCATTCATTACAGATATCGCCGCAAACTACGGAAGACTAATATCGTGGTTCACGCTAGCTCGTAGCAAATCATTAATCGTGTCCTGGAATTGTTACCTACCGAGAAGAGTAGCATAAAACATCATTGCCGAACCAATGGCGCTTATTTGATGAAGCTGATTTGTTAATGAACTAGTGGCGACTGCTCGAATTCGAGTCACTCCGATAGACATTCGATATGCGACCCCGGCTGGAATGGTCTGCGGTTGGTGAGAGCAGCTGCAGCCAGCAAGTCAGTTGAGTGAGACAGGCCGTGTCCGGCTTTGACGGGCGCGCCAAACTAGCTCACGTTTTACTGAAACACATTGTACATACCTAGGCTATAGAGTGACATTTGGGTAGCATTACCTTTGTTAACTAAGTTAGACTGAGTGCCAATCTATCTTCCATTGGGGGTTACGTTTCACTGAATAGCTTAATATCCCAGTGGGGCTCGTGTTACGACCGGCGCAATATTGCGTTGTAAATCCTTTTATGACCCGACTATAATTCGCAGCTTCAATCCAAGCCTGTCTTCATCCACATTTCATTTGATACAATATCATTAAAACCAGTAAGCTGAGCCTGATTACGCTTCCGAAATTGGTCCGCCAAATCAGTGTAAATGACACGATAGGGAATATTTATAGACTGTGGACTAAATAGGATAACTGTAACTTGAGCACGGATTATCAGGCAACAGCAACGGGGGATGACATATTTCACGGATGTCATTATCAGACTCTACATATAGTGAAATGGAGCCTAGGCTGCTTGTGTTAGATACAGCCACGTATAATATTACTGTGTTCTCCCATGATTGATACCGAAACCAGATTGATACCGAAACCAGACACCCAGCAGAGTCCATTCCGTGAGGACCAATTCTATTGAACACGGAGCGATACACAATCACCTATCGGATATTGGCTGTCGCCGGACGTCAGCGAGACACAGAAATACGTTGTCCTGAGGTATGACACGGTGTTCTGGGTGTGTCTGTTACCTTCATTGCTTCATTGTTTTAAAATTCACATCATACTCCTGCTTCAATGTTAACCTATCTGAAACACAAAAATGTACAAACAATTGCAATATTGCTTTTCACAAAGAGGGCACGAAACCAATTCAGATTACCAAGCAATCAATTCGAAGAATGTTTCGCAGTTCACACACTTTGTTTACTAACAGTGCTCCACACTCAATAAACTCAAATCACTACGTTTGATTCTATTTTGAACATTATCACCTATTCTGTGAGCTGGCACAAACGTGTACATACTTTATTGTCGGTCGACCAAGCTCATCGACCTTACAGAGCTTACAGCCCACCTACAATTCAACAAGCTCTTTTTAGACCCAGTTTGACCTCAGTTACACGGATATTGCGCGTTTCATATGTCGGTTTAAAACTAGACCCGACGACTGAGTAGCTTTTAAGTCGGTCAATTCAGCTTAGCCGGGGAAAATAACTTGAATGGTCACATTGTAGTTCTGGAAATGAAACATTCTTTGTTCAGGAGCGGCTCTTTTTTACGCTGTTGTCGAGTCAAACAACAGGTGGATCCACGGGGAACGTAGATACAGGAGCGTTCCCGTGTCTGCACGCACAAAAAACGCACACAGTTTTTAACTCACCAGATAAAAACTGTCTATGCAAGTGCTGACGAGGCGGCAGTCGCAATAGCAGGCACTCAGGCGAATCCAAACAAGTGGTTTGAGACGCTGCGGGGGAGGGTGGCTGGCATACTCCTCAAAAAGTCACCCATTTAACAAAAAATCATCTTCTAAATTTGTTTTCCCATGCCTTGCTATGCAGTCATGTCCCACGTGCCTCCCACGAATCGGATCCGGCAGTGACAGCAGCTGTAGCCTGTAGGCTGTAACAGATGGCGGTTGGCACTCGCTGTCGCTACGATGGTACGTTAGGTTAGGTACTAGTGATGTCAATCACGGAAAATCGGAATACCGATACCAAACCAAATACCAACTAAAACCACGGGAGAATACCGAAACCAAACCAACTTGGGAAACTGAGGGAAATACCAACTTTTTACCGATTTCTTAGCCTCTAATACATTAGTGAGGGCTTATGATACCAACAAAATACCAAACACATTACGATTGAAATACCAAATACCAAGTTGTTATCGGTTTGGTATCGGTATACCAAAAAGTTGGTATCCGATTGACATCTCTATTAGGTACAGTCCACAGCAGAAGCAATGTGGGGTTTCAGTCATGGGTATGTTCTGCTTCTGAAGCTTAGGAACGATTAGCCAGACTACAATGAAACTTTGAATGTAGCTTATATGTATGTATCGTCACCCTTGCAGCTGCAACTTTAGCTATTGACATCTTCTTTTCGATCACTCCGCATTAAACAATCGCCAGTCAAAGCCAACCGTTGAGATTGGTAAAACCCTACATTACTTTAGCGGTGGGCTGTATGTACGTACAGCTCCTGTCACGGTGTCAAGAACATAGCCCGGCAGCTACTGTTCTTCGCTCTTGGCACTCATGATGCACCGTCCCTCACCATGGCAAAACTGCCCACAGCTGGCTCTGAAAGAAACTGCTGCCTTTTAGTTTTCCGAGGTATTTAACTTGGCATGTCTTGTAAAGTGACTTTTTCCGAAGGACATACTCCAGTCCACGCCGCCACCCTCCCTGTCTGCTAGTCCTGTCTCACGTTCAGGCTTCATCTAACCTCCATCTTATTCCGACAGGCGGTCTGAGTCGACGTTCTCATCCAGCCTCGGAGCGAGTCAAACTGGAGCCCACTTCTTCCACTGTTCTACCATCAGGCGCCTCACCGATACTGCTTCATTCCTCCAACATGACCACAGACGGCTGGCCTCCGCGTTCTGACACCTCCAGAGGAACACGACGACTGCTGACTCTCCCAACTCCTCGCGTGGGAGGAGGAAGACGTGCGACAGGCCAGTCCTTCCATCAGCCGATGGTCAATGAGTCAGCCCCTAGCGCGCACTGGAGGAGGAGAGACTCGGAGGTTAGCGACGCTTTCATGACTCCTGAGACGTCTCCTCCGTCAGCACGACCGCTGACTCAGGTCAGGCTGCTGATGAGGCTGGCTCCTGCGCCAAGTCCTGCGCTGACCTTAGCGTTGGGATCGCTGGGAACAACACCAGCGCCTACTTCTGAGAGTGGTGGTGGGGAGGGAGGAGATGTGGTGGGAAAAGGCGAGGAAGACGAAGGCGAAGATGGAGGAAAAGGTGAAGCCATGCATCTGCTTGCGTCGGACTCATGTAATAGTCTTGACGAACAGTTCTATGATGCCAGCTCGTGAGTGAGGCAGGGGAACCGGGAAAGCGAAAGAACTTAGCTACATCGGATTGCTAATGATAAAAGAAAAATCGATCGGTACAGGTTTGGATGACCTTGGAGAAGCGCCCCGGTAGCTGAAAGGAGGCTTCACGACCTCATCTCAGAGGCGGTGCCGTGTGTTCCCGAGTTACGGGAAGTCTTGTCGCTAGTTGTGCTGTGCTGCAGACTGCTGTGCTGTTCGTTGTGCTGTAATGGTTGTTGTGCTACGCTTTACTGCGCTTGTTGAGTCGTTGTCAAATAGGTACCTTTTGGAATCGTTGCGTGTCCGTCTTTATGGCTTACCGTTTCCAGAGCCAATAATTCACACCCTATTTTCTGATGTGTGTCTCACAGCCATATATACCTGTGATTGTGTGGTGCCCATAACTGCGTCATCATTTCACAAAATGTGCCACCAATGAGTCCTTCTTAACCCTATTCCTGGCGGGGGGGGGGCCTCAGGAGCCCCCCCCCCCTGAGGTTTTTTGGTTATATCTCCCAAACGCGTTGAGCTAGGAAGCTCAAATTTTCTGACTTTTCCTAAAAGGCTTCTACGCAACATGTCTGAAAATTTTGAGTTGATCTGACCTCAGGTCAGGTCACCAGAGGCGGTTTGGTGACGCTACCTCAGAAAAGTTTGCAATCACGCCAGAGCTAGAGTTTTTGACCGAGCAATTTCTTCTCTTCAGGATTTAGTTAGGGTACCAGTATGTGCAATTTGTATATCTCGGAATTTTGATATCGGTGACCTAAGGTCAGGTCAATTTCGCGACCTCCCCATTATAAGTCAATGGGGGAAAAATCAACTCCCTGTTTTTACCACTAAAACGGGTCGGAATGGCCCCATATACCATACATGACTTCATATACGATCAACCTTCACTACCTTGAGGTCTGTTTTGCTGTTGGGCAGCTGTGAGGTCATGTGACGTCATCAAAGGTCACCAAAGGTTTTTGGCCAATAACTCCGTACAGGAACAAGATACAGACGCGTGGATGGTCTCATTGTGTTCAGCTCGTCAAGACGCATCGAATGATATACATGATGACCTCGAGGTCACGTGACCTGAGGTCAACCTTTGACCTTGACCTTTCGAGGTCAACATATATATCATTCGATGCGGATTGACGAGAGGATCACGATGATGCCCTTAGTTTGTTCCTATCTTGACTAATTCGAAAGTTATTCGAGAAAAACTCTCTCCATATCTAGTGCCGCCATTTTGACTTTTTCGACCCCTGTGACGTCATCTTTGACCTGACCTGAAAATGACCTTAGTAAAAATTGTAGATCTTGGCCGTGCGTATCCGATGCCGTTTACCGCTTGTCGCTATCTTGCTTCGTTCTCGAGATCTCAGGGGGGGGGGCCGAATCGGCCCCCCCGCCAGTTTCTTGTCCCGGCGGAGCCCGCCAGGAATAGGGTTAAGGCGGTGAAGATCTCAATGCCTACATACCGGTGGAGATGTTGGAAGATTCCAAACTTACCGCTCAGCTCAGGATCTCCATCTCACCAAATTCATACGCGCATATCTAACATAGTTTCACCCGAGATAGGAGTTTCAGTTTTAAGTACTTGTGTGGCTTAACCAGTCTCCATATTAGTATTTTTCCTTCCAGACCGGCGTAATCGCGCTTTGCTGGTCGTGACAGCGTAATAGGTGCTGCCTCATAACTCCATACTCGGACAATGCAACGCTGGAAAATGCGCCCACCAACTACCAAGCAACAGACCCATCCTGGGCTTGTCCAGTGCAAGATTGTCCAGTGTCCCCCCAGTATTTTATTCCCTCGGGGCGCATATCACAACCAAAAGAGCACAAAAAGTTTCTTTTTAGCAGTTACAGCGTCAAGGGACATTGTTCGTTGTTAAGTGTTGCCGAGCGGGAGAGGAAAATGTATTATTTTTGTTGTGTGAAATTATATGTCAGTATAGTGGACAATGTTGATGAACTATGTTTGCTGGTGGATTCGAGAGTTCATGGTGAACAAATGGGAGGTTTCAATCTCGAGGAACCGGTGGCGTCATAAGGTTGTCGAACCGTTATTTTGAATGTGAAAAAAGCGTTCGGAGTGTGGGGTTTCTTATGCGTTGGTGACCGAATGTCAAAACGCTGTGTCTTCTTTCGTTGAGAGATGATACGTAAACATAAGCCAATTTATTCATCAACATATTTTAGAAGACATGTGCATCATTTTGTAAATGTGTCGCAACATCCCAATACTGAAACGTTTTGCGCCCAATATACACATCACCTCTGTTACTACACTGGAAAAAATGCAGGATACAAAACAAACCACTCATCGCTTGAACGTCTTGCGTCAACGTGATTTTCTTAACCCGCGCCCTGCTGGGGGTCCTGGATTTCCACGCCCTGCTGGGGGGGGGGTGTTTGAACACCCCCCTTGTAACTCGGCTCCTGGGCCACGTAGCGATACGCGGAAGGCGGCGTTCGAAAGAGCGTAAAAAATAATGACGAAATCACTTCGGTCAATTTTTTGGTCAGGTCAAAGGTCAGGTCACCAGAGGTCATTGAAGGCAAAATTTCGCCGATTTCCAGGTCAAATGTCGAAAATTTCCAAGAAGCCAACGCATAACTCGGGAACCAATAGAGCTACAGCGCCGCGGAAAAGCGCATTCGATAGCCCTATTAACGCCCTTTCTGAGTAATTCTCTCAGATTTGACCTAACGTCAACGGTTTTGCCTGCAGGGGGCAAAAACTGCAAAAATAGCCGATTTTTTCGAAAACAGTTTTTCTGCAATAACTTTTGACCCAAGCATTGTACGAGCTTACTTTTACCGGCATCGTGTTCCTCTCGTCAAGACGCATCGAATGAACTATAACTTGACCTTGAAAGGTCAACTTGAAAATTTGACCTGAGGTCAAGGTCATGACCTGACCGGAAAGGGTCATGTTGCATATCAGTCGATCCGTATCGTCGAGCTGAACACATCTAAGGCGTTTTCATCGCTCTAGCATGCCTCTATCAAAAGTTATTTGCGAAAAACTGTTAGATACCATTCGTGACCTAAGATGACCTCAGGGCATAAACAAGGGTCACGGACACCATTTTCAAGTTCAGTGTGTCTAAACCACTTGTAATTCGGTGTTTGGGAGTGTTTATAACGTCTTTCATCCAAAAGAGGCGCATTTCAATTTTTGATTATGAGCATATTTTTAATTGACCGAATCCTCAATGTAATCTGAATAAAATGACAAATAGCAAAAATTCGGGTATATTCGATCACAGATCTTTGTCAACCGATACCAGCAGGCGCCACAATTGTAGATGTCAAAATACTTTTTGTTCAGTACACATGCACAACAGTAGATATGTCCTCAGGGAAAAGATTTATGGTTGGTAATTCTAAAAGTCGCAGCAGTCAAACATAATATGTACAGGGAAAGCAGTCAAACATAATATGTACAGGGAAAAACCTATACACAAGATTAAAGTGCGTGTGTGCCTAAGCATATACGAATTTAAGATGAAACAATACTTGCGGATCAATTAAATGGGCAGCAAGTTACACTCTTACCCTGGACAAAGTTAGGGCACATATAACATTTACACTGTGCGAAACAATTAAATGAGCATATTATACATAAATGAACATTATATACGTAAATGAGCATACATGAGCGTATTATCATACTATGACTACTGATACCCTGGACAAAGTTAGGGCGCATACAGCATCTATGAAAACGATCTACACAATCACTTTTTAACGTGGTGAGCTCTTGAAAATGCTACCCTACTTTGGAAGTAGCTGCCAGGAGGTGCTGTTATCGTTAAGAGTTGGCATCCTATCGCGGATGGTGATGGATTCAGCAATCCTCCTGTCAGCTTCATCCTTACATTTGCGTACGATGCGTGCTATCAGAGTCGTGTCCGTTGGGGTCAGGTCTGGGTGCTCGTGCGCGAAATGTTCACCCATTGGTGTGCCTAGTTTCTTGTTGGTGCCATCTCGTAAGTGTTCGTTATATCGCAGTCGTATTGGCCTACCGCTTTCTCCTACGTAAGTTTTGTACGCAAATGTAAGGATGAAGCTGACAGGAGGATTGCTGAATCCATCACCATCCGCGATAGGATGCCAGCTCTTAACGATAACAGCACCTCCTGGCAGCTACTTCCAAAGTAGGGTAGGGCATTTTCAAGAGCTCACCACGTTAAAAAGTGATTGTGTAGATCGTTTTCATAGATGCTGTATGCGCCCTAACTTTGTCCAGGGTATCAGTAGTCATAGTATGATAATACGCTCATGTATGCTCATTTACGTATATAATGTTCATTTATGTATAATATGCTCATTTAATTGTTTCGCACAGTGTAAATGTTATATGTGCCCTAACTTTGTCCAGGGTAAGAGTGTAACTTGCTGCCCATTTAATTGATCCGCAAGTATTGTTTCATCTTAAATTCGTATATGCTTAGGCACACACGCACTTTAATCTTGTGTATAGGTTTTTCCCTGTACATATTATGTTTGACTGCTTTCCCTGTACATATTATGTTTGACTGCTGCGACTTTTAGAATTACCAACCATAAATCTTTTCCCTGAGGACATATCTACTGTTGTGCATGTGTACTGAACAAAAAGTATTTTGACATCTACAATTGTGGCGCCTGCTGGTATCGGTTGACAAAGATCTGTGATCGAATATACCCGAATTTTTGCTATTTGTCATTTTATTCAGATTACATTGAGGATTCGGTCAATTAAAAATATGCTCATAATCATCAATATGATTTTCCTCACTACGCTAAACTCTCTTAAATGTGCATTTCAATTTTCTCCCATTGACTTATAATGGGGAGGTCGCAAAATTGACCTGACCTTAGGTCGTCGATATCAAAATTCTGAGATATACATTTTGTACATGCTATTGCTCTTAGCAATCGCTGAAAGTTTCAAAGCGATCGGTCACTCGGTGTAGCTATGACAGACGTTGAAAGTTTTTATGAGGTGAGGTCACTTCAAGTGACCTGGTGACCTGACCTTGAATGACCTTGGTCTGAAATTTTCACAACATGTGTAGAATTGATGTATGATAAGGTGTACCAAAAACGGCGGCGCTCCGCGCCGCCGTTTTTGAGATATTCGCGAAAAAACCACAGGGGGGGGGGGGGGGTGTTCAAACACCCCCCCCAGCAGGGCGCGGGTTAATGTTCACGTCAAAGTGTGGTGTCGTATCTTAGCCGTGTCGCGTGCCCGGCTGTTACTTTACATGTTCCAAGTGTCAAATTCACCGATTTCGTTCTAAGCAGACGTTTCTGTCTCGATCCTTGATGAGTTCTGGTGACACTTCTCGAGCTGCTGACACACCAGGGGGAGGTGTCAGCTTCTCGCAGAAGCTCGCGTTGCCACGGCAATCTGTTCATGTATGTATACCTTTAGTCGTATGACAATTAAGTCCTAATCCAGATATCCCAGCTTTTGTGACCATAATCATAAGTCATCCATCGGTACATAAGCAGGCGCGGAGTGTCAGCATGGGCCATGGCACCAGTACATCGCAGCGCAATAGATGCTGACTTGGCCTACAAGTTTTTTTTTGGCAGGTACCCAGCACACATCGTTCTATCATCATAACCAATAACCATGCATCACATTGCATAAGACTATCGGTTATAATACCCTCATTTAGGAACATCTGCTATACCACCGCTGTACCTGAAAAACTGTGACGTAATCGGATGGCTGAATGCGATTGACAGTGATGTTTTATGTCGGGGTGTTAAATATACATACGATAAATCCAACAGGATCAACTGTTGTTTTGCTGACGCGACTAATGGATGGAGTTCGGCGCCCACACAAGTGTTATCCACGTGAATAAAAAAACACCTTTCAAGATGTATATGTGCCGACGCACTGAAAGCGAAGGACTACCGCTATTCCGGACATTTCCTCTAGCGTAATTAATAAAATCGTCGAAACTCTCAGAGATGAGTTCTGTGAAGGAGTGGCTACAACCGAGCACAACCAGTGGTATATAGGCGACCAGATTTTCCTCAATATCTGACCTAGGGTCAGCACTCAGCTCAACTTCCATATCGTCAGGCATGAGTGCTAGCACAAATGTCGCCACTTGATATTGTTTAAAGGCCCAAGCGCATCCCCAAATCGCATCCTCCATCAAACGGCATTCAGCATAACGCAACTCAATAACGTTTCCGCTCTGAATGACCGGAATCTGGAGAATTTCCATTCCCTCGTGACTGAGCGTTTCCAACCACCTCTAGGAGACCCGAACCACCACATAAAGATGTTATCTAAGGAAAGCAGTAGAGCACTCTCTCTAACCTCTCTCTCTCTCTCTCTCTCTCTCTCTCTCTCTCTCTCTCTCTCTCTCTCTCTCTCATCTCTCTCTCTCTCTCTCTCTCTCTCTTCCCTCCCCTTCACCAGTTCGGCCATCACAGATGGATGGAATGTGTGAACGAGGACGGAAGCGGATCGTGTCAGATCCACGGCATCAGGCAGGGAAGGGGGAGAGGGAGAGGGGGACAGGGAGAGAGGGAGAGCGAGAGAGAGAGAGAGAGAGAGAGAGAGAGAGAGAGAGAGAGAGAGAGAGAGAGAGAATGTGTTGGTTGGAGAGAATGTGATGTGATGAGAGAGAGAATGTGTTGGTTGGAGAGAATGTGATGTGATGAGAGAGAGAGAGAGAGAGAGAGAGAGAGAGAGAGAGAGAGAGAGAGAGAGAGAGAGAGAGAGAGAGAGAGAGAGAGAGAGAGAGAGAGAGAGAGAGAGAGAGAGAGAGAGAGAGAGAGAGAGAGAGAGAGAGAGAGAGAGAGAGAGAGAGAGAGAGAGAGAGAGAGAGAGAGAGAGAGAGAGAGAGAGAGAATGTGTTGGTTGGAGAGAATGTGATGTGATGAGAGAGAGAATGTGATGTGATGAGAGAGAGAATGTGTTGGTTGGAGAGAATTTGATGTCTCTCTGAGACATCATGAGAGAGAATGTGTTGGTTGGAGAGAATGTGATGTGATGAGAGAGAGAATGTGATGTGATGAGAGAGAGAATGTGTTGGTTGGAGAGAATTTGATGTCTCTCTCTCTCTCTCTCTCTCTCTCTCTCTCTCTCTCTCTCTCTCTCTCTCTCTCTCTCTCTCCCTGAGAGAGAGAGACAGAGAGAGAAAGGGAGGGAGGGAGAGAGAAAAACTGACATGAAAAATGCAAGCAGACACATCGATCGACCTTCAAAGACAAAGACGAGAGTGGCGAAGTCGTCTATAGGCAACTACCACCAGGGGTGGAATAAGCAGGGCCAATGGTACCAGACTGGTTCGTAGCCCGACATTATCTCGCGAGAGGTTAGCATGGAAATCGGCACCACTGGGGTCGTCTGGTGGTCGCACTCGGCCGATGAAAAGTCAATGGGGGATGAGACGCGGAAATTTCTGCTTCTCTTTGTCTGGTTCGGTTTGTTGTCAAAAGAAAGTTGCTGTGTCTGTGCAGCCATTCGAGAAAAGACAGGTGTAAATACATCATTCGCTGCTATCAGGGTCTTTCTGACGTTTCCCGCTGTATCAATCTACCTAGGAACAGCTTGTTTACCTGCAAACCGTCAGAACATATCGAAAACAAAAGTCCGAGCGAAAATGATGCTGAAAAAAGATCTCACCTCCGTCTTAAAAATGAAATAAAACCATGATGCTGGACTATGAGCATTGAACATCCCAAATTATCCTTCATATGCTCGTATTTCATGCTTTTCACTGACGACTGACGTCAAATAACGGGCTAAAAAAGCGATAAACTACGCAATATCCCGCATCACAAATAATATAATGTATTGTTCACGTGCATCGGAAATGTGACAACACCCCAGCCAGAATGAACAAAGCTTGCTTTCGTAAATATCAAACATAACAGAAACACAAAAATGGCACCAGCAATACAATCCCACGCGACGAACGTCCAAGCAAGGTTATACAATCGTCAACCATACAATAGCCCAATCGATTTTTACACGTACAGAGCCAGACCTATGCCACGGAATATATAGTCTACGACATGGAATGGACAAGATCGAGATTTCCTGTAACTGCCGAGTTTTTGGCGACCTGATGATTTAGTCGTGCGGATTCGCTGTGGTTACTTCCTTTACGAGGATGAAAGTATAGTTGCCAGACCTATAACTAATAGGGGAAGGTGGGGCATAACGGGGTACCGGGGCAATATGAGAAGGCGCATTTTATTCTAATCCAGGTGTTGCTGTCTGGAATCACTTCTGACAATTTAAACTTCGCTCGTTTGCCGCCCTTTTCCGGTGGACGCCGGCGGGAGGCGGCGTTGCTGAGGATGGTGGGTAAGGTTTTTTTCATGGTGCTGATGTATTTTTCAACATTCGTTTGGTAACTTCCTAGGTGAAAATCCGTTCGAGTAGGTTTGTCATAGTCAGTGAAAGCAATGACTCTCGTCCTAGCCAACCTTTCCCTGCGATAGAAAGTTGCCGGCTGTTTTGATAAACATGAACGATCCTGCTCTATTGCCAATGTCCTTCGGGGGTTAAAACGGGTTTCCGGTAGAGGCGATATGGGTTGGTGAATTTTACCACATTTTACCACATTCACCCCATTTACGTGCCCAGAAGTGCTTTTTGTTACAGTTATAACTAGTTGCCTTTATTGGCCCACTCACGTTTCATAAATGCATTTAGGAGGGGTTGTGTTAAACGTTTTCAAACGTTGTCATAATGTTTCTTCATTTTAAGTAGGTACACAGGCACCGTGTATGTGCCTAATATATATTTTTGCCGAGATACACTCTTTCATTTTCAGTAGCTTGGATCTTGGTTTAAGCGGCGAGTGCACAGGAACGTGCACCCAGCAGCCTGACACAAGTCCCGGATTTTCACCACGCCCTTTATCGTTTGTCGCAGTCCTCGAATGGAGTCGATGCTGGCGCCGCCACCGACCGTCCGCGTATTTGGAAATTCCGACCTCGACGAGCATCTGTGGTAGAAAACCACCACTTTGGTAGGGGAAACTACTGCTGTCTGCTACCATTTGCACTACATGTGTCGCTATAGCTGCGACATCTATGCATATTAAATCGCGACGTGTGTGTGCGGTGACCGGTGATTCTTGGGTGATTCTAGTTAGCGATTAGCTAGGGCAGCAGGGTGGATCCAGACTTTCAGTTTGAGGGTGGGCGGACTCTTGGCCGGCCCGATCCCCGGCAGTCAAAGTTGCTGAGCGGGGGGGGGGGGAGGAAAGTCCAATATAATGACCCAAAAGACATGCCTATTGCCCATAGGTATATACGTATGTATTGAATGGTATCAGCACTCAGCAGTGTGCCTCCTGAGATGTTAGTGATTTTTATCGATTCATCAAGTTGACTATTTGTTTTTTTGCGGATATCTTAAAAACGGTGGCGCTCCGCGTCGGTGTTTTTTAACTTATTTAATAACCTTTAGCTTTAACTTTACCAATACCAATACAAACCAATACATACTATATATGCCTATAGGCAATAGGTGTGGCATCATATTGGACCTTTCTCCCCCCCCCCCCCCCCCGCTCAGCAACCGGACTGCCAGGGATCGGGCCGGCCATGAGTTACCCCACGCCCACCCTTAACCAGGGATGCGGAGTCGTGGACATTTCAGACGGTTCCGACTCCGGCTCCGGCTCCGGGTGAAATGCCATGGCGGCTCGACGGCTCCGGCTCCGAGTAAAATGGTCCGGCGGCTCCGGCTCCAATAATCAGTACATTTTAAATACCTACGGGTGGCAGAAAAAAGAAGATGGGATTGGTGCACGTTGCTTCTGCATTTGCATAACTTAAGGCTATTTTCATATTTTGAATACCGTATTTCTTATAACTGCCTGGAACTGCAAGTTCAAGGCAGTTCGGTTTGACAAACCGAACTGGGTCAATATTTGTTTCTTCTTCAAAAAAAGGATCCGGAGTCGCCCCCTTTTTTGACAGCTCCGGCTCTGGCTCCGGCTCCGAACTATATTGTTTCACGGCTTTGGCTCCGGCTCCGGGCAAAATATGCCGGCTCCGGCGGCTCCGGCTCCGGCTCCGCACCCCGGCCCTGCCTCAAACCGAAAGTCTGGATCCACCCTGGTGCCCTAGCTAATCGCTATACTAGAATCAGCGCACACAGATGTCGTGGTTTACATGTATATGCATAGATGTCGCAGCGATAGCGACACATGCAGTGCAAATGGTAGCAGACAGCAGTAGTTTCCCCTACCAAAGTGGTGGTTTTCTACCACAGACGCTCGTCAAGGTCGGAAATTCCAAATACGCCGACCGTCCACCGCTGCAGCCAGGCGTCGCTCTCCTGAAGAAACTGCATGTGTTCTCCCGCCGTTGCTGGATGGAGGCTGGATATCACGCGTCGCTTTGAGCAGGGGTCGAACCGGGCGGAAGCGTTTAGCACATCGAGCAGGTCGTTGAGGCGCAGCAGGAGAGTTGCAGTCGGGAGTGCAGTGCGCGGGAGCTTACCGTGGGTCGCATGCAATGTGATTGCTGCTGCTACTGTCCGGCTCATCACCTGTAGGGCATAGCTGACTTTCATTTTTCAAAGCTATTTGGCTTGATGTGTTTCTGGCTTAGTTTTTGAGCAGCCCGTGGGGAAGAAGCGCATTCCAGTGCGTAGTGTTTCTAAATGACTCCAAGAGGCTACTTCACCGTCTACTTCAATATCGTATTTCATTAATGCATTTCGTATGCATTTGAAGATGTGAGGCACGTCATACAGAGCAGCAACCTCGTGCCCGTCCACGGTGAACAAGCCGGTTTCCGCAGCTCCGAGCAGTCTGTAGGTCGCCTGGTTGTTCTTTGACATGTCACAAGTTGTAGCTAGCACAGTGAATCCCGCTGTTGTTACACGTTGGACACACTGTGTTAACAGCTGCTGCTGCACAACGGCCTTGGTCGTTCCGGAACTCAGAAAGAATGGGCTGTTTCCAGCGTTTGGTGACACTGACGCCCCGCACCATCATGACCAAGGCGTGGTCGGCGCAGGCATTGGCGCGGCAGAGAGAGCCATGATCAGTGAAGCCCTCGATGACGTCATCACCCCGCTGGTAGGCCAACCTTGGTTTCAGCTGCATTTTGTCGAACGAAATGATGCACAGCTTGTCCTTGGCACTTGCTCCGGCGAACTTCTCTTTTATGAGAGCCAAGATAGCGTCATGAAAGCCAGGTCGCATCTGTATTTTTTCCATCTTCCTCCGCAGAGTTCGAGGATGGGGAAGGACGTACCGTTTTTGTAGGATAGGAACCGATACGCCCTGGGACCAAGGCCATATATAGTTCTGGGACCCTGAAGTAGAGCGCGAGTGCTCGCACTTCCTCATCTTCATCAAATTTTGGACGAATTTCATCGAATTTCATTTATTTTAGACCAATGTTAAAACTGTAATGCAATGAATATGTATAAATGCTCCCGTAGCAATGTGTGCTAAAAGTTTCCAATAAAATATCCGGTAACCATTTCAAAGTCACAGTCACAACTTGGCCCTTGAAGACGAATCATTCGACGATTGTTAAGAAAAAATGTATGAAATGTTAAGAAAATATATGAAAATGTAAACCCACGTGGAAAGAAATTCATCCGCATCCTCCGGATCTCCGGATATTCATCCGATTCATCCGGCAAAGTCCTTGATTTTTGGTTACACACGTGGCAATGCTAATCGAAGCTCCTGTCCATTCCATGTCGTAGACTATATATTCCGTGCCTATGCCAACCGCCTAATCACAAAGACTGTGACGTCAGCGTTCATTTGTCGAGCCAGTATATCAGTTACCATCCGGTCTGTACTGATCAATGACTGTCGGAGGGTAACCCCCTGTATACTTTCCCACAAAGGTGGAGATTTCGGGGGGGTCGGGGGGGGGGGGGTCAGGACCCCCCTGAAAGCAAATTACTGCTATGTAAGTCAATGGTACTGCATCCAGCCCGCCTCCATCTGCCCAGCCTGGACCCACCCCCCCCCCCCTGAAATTTTGACAGATCTCCTAGTGCTTTCCCATGCATAAAGAACACGGGCAACACAGTAGGTACATGTGGGGATTAATCAATGCGCACAGGCTCACGTCAAAGCTATACATAGGTACTTCGAATGTAAGCTCAGAAGACACTCATCAGTCGCCAGCCTACATTTTGATACAATGTCAACATGACAAACCCTATTTCAATATTAAGTCGATGTCCTACCTTGAATCTGACGGAAATTTTCGGTGAGTAACTTTTGAAGCCAGTACCAATACCACTTTCACTTTTTATGGAAACTATTACAATGTCTTCATCAGTATGTCCACTAAAAAATGTGCAGAGACACTCTCCTGAGCACGCAACACTGGTATCCACATATCCACCTCAGTCCCCTGAACATTTTACCGCGATCATACCGTACCACCATGCACTGTTCACCGCGATCCCAGCGCTCGACACCGATTCTCCAGCTGTTTGGAGTACGAGTCCAGCTGAATGGCGGCCGACTCCAGCTTGGCAAGACTTCGGTCAACCTCCTCCAGTTGCCTGCAAGCAGATAAAGGTGTGAACCGTCACACATAACACAGCTGCGATTGGGCACCATCATACGACACCACAGAAAGTCACCAGTCTCCACATACGTCAAAGTCAAAGTCGGTCGTCTACGGCGTCATGGCTCAGAACGATGCAGTGCGCCACAATACGGGACCAAATGCTACATGCAGTCACAAACTGTCACGAAACGACACACAGTCCATATACTCTTTCAGCTGTCTGTAAACAAATCAAAGTGAATCTCTTCACGAAAGGTAGCCATCGAACAGTGAATCTCGTCACTTGGTACCTAAAGAGCGGGTCACATGACACATCGAACGATGAAGGTCTGAGCAGTTTGGTTATAATACGCTTCCTGTACACAGAATACAGAAGAATGTATACAGAAGAAATCAGACACAAGTCAATGTGACCCATAAAAGAGCACCGATAGCTGAATGGCGAGAGCTAGCTCCATGGCCAACAACCACGGCTATACACCACAACACAATCCATGTACTCATTATCGGCGAGAAGCACGACTTTTTGTGTTATTTACAATCTACAGAGACGTCATAGCCTGCCGTCAATATTTGCATAGGACTAATGAACCACATTTTTACCGAGCTAGCAGCAGCGCAAACAGTTCCCAGGATCCAGGAAAGAAAAGGTGATAGGGCAAAGCCGGGCAGAGCGAGGCGAAGCGAAGCAGACTAACAGAGCAGAGAAATGCGGAGCAGACGAAAGGAGACAATAAGCATGACAGCGGGCTGCGATAAAAGAAATAGCATGGTTGCATGTGCTGTCGAATTGTTATTCTTAATTAATGAGCTCGTTTTTTCTCCCGGGATCAGATCAGCTGCGAAGAGAACGAGTTGCTATAATTTGGTCAAGTTACTTTTTTTAGGCTGGGGGGATCCGTGCTATCGTAAGTTATATCGGACGTGGCTGCGAAACTTCTCTCAGTACGAAACTTCTCTTGATCGGAAGAAAATCGGAGGGATGAAAAAGAAAGAGCGGCAAATCGGAGCTACGTTGTACGTAAGTTGTTTCGCAGCGTTTAAATGCCCGTTTTACTACGATTTAAATGCCAAGCAGATCAGCTGACCTCGTAGTACCATGTCGATAAGGTCGAATTCCCCATACGTCTATAGTGTAAAAGTGACCCCTATTGCAAATGGGCTGTCAGGGACATCTCCTCCTCTGTAAATTTGGAGGGATGATGTGTCGGCATTCCCACGTTCGTTTCGGAGTCCATCTGTTCCATTTGGAGCCCGTCAGTTGGCGTCAAGAGTTGGCGCAGCGAGCGCCCCGAAGACTGCGTCTGCGCACGAGGCTTCGCGATGTAGGAGTATTTTGACGAAATCGCCCTCGCTGCAGAAGAAATAGAGGGACTTGTTGAGAAAGAGGAGGCCGCAGTGTGCCGACGACTTTAAATTGTACGCCAACGCCAAGACCAAGGCAATCAGGGGGCGCTCAGATGATCGGGAGGTTTCAATTGATCAGGGACCCACCAGGTGACCAGGGAACCCTCTGATAACCAGGGGTCCTTCCAGTAACCAGGGACTCCTTCAATAACCAGGGGCCCCTCAGTAAACGTGGGCCACTCAGGTTACTGCAAGAGACAGGAGTCCCTTATAACCAGGGACCGGCAAGGTCTCTCAGGTCCGTTTTTGACAAAGCTGTTATTGATGTCATATGCGAGCCCTTTGCCACCAGCAGAGGGCCCTTTCAAGCCTTTTTTAGGGCCGTTTAACGTCTCTTGAGTTTCCTTTGAGGCTAAGGGCCTCTTCAGCAGCCGAGGGGTCTTTGAGGCCTTTTTGAGGGCCTCTTAACGTCAGCTGAGGACCGTTGGACGCCATCTGAGGACCGTTTGGGGCCTTCTGATGGCCAGTAGATGCCAACTGAGGGCTCTCTGACACCAGCTGAGGGCACGCTGACACCAACTGGGGGCCTCCTGACACCAGCTAAGGGCGCTTTTATATTTGACACGAGCTCAGGGCCCTTTGACGCCCTTTGAGACCTTCTGAGGTCCGTTTGACGCCAGCAGAGGACCCTTTGGGGTCATATTAGGGCCCTTTGCTGCCTTTTAAGCGGCCTTTGAGGCTTTTTGAGGGCCGCTTGACGCCACCTGAGGACCGTTGCGGTTTGACTCCAGTTACGGACCGTTTGAGGCCTTCTGATGGCCATTTTGCGCCAACTGAGGGCCGGGGGGCCCTCTGACACTAGCTGGGGGCCCTCTGACACCAGATAAGGGCCCTTTAAGGCCTTCTGAAGTCCGATTAACGCTAGCGGAGGGCCTTTTGAGGCCAAATGAGGGCCCTTTGAGACCTTATAAGGGCTCCTTGAGGCTTTTGAGGGCCGCGTGACGGCATCTGAGGACCGTTGTACTCCAGCTGACGACCGTTTGAGGCCTTCAGATGGACTTTTGGCGCCAGCTGAGGAGGGCTCACTGACACCAGCTGGGGGCCCTCTGACACAAGCTAAGGACTCTTTAAGGCCTTCGGAGGGTCGTTTGACGCGAGCTCAGGGCCCTCTGACGCAGGTTTAGGGCCCTTTGACGCCCTTTAAGGTCTTCTGAGGTAGGTTTAACGTTGGCTGAGAGCCCTTTGAACCCATCTGAGGGCCCTTTGAGGCCATCTTGTGGCCCTTCATTTGGCCATCTGAGGGCCCTTTGACACCAGATGAGGGCCATTTGACGCTAACCGAGGGCCCTTCGAGACCATCTGAGGACCCGGTGACCCCATCTGTGGGCCCTTTGAGGTCTTTTGAGGGCCATTGAAATTTCACCACAATACCCCTGGCTGCGCTACTGGGCATTTATGGACTCGTATGGGCCTGCTGGGGAACGAGATGGGCCCTCCCGGTCTTTTTAATCATCATTTCAGTTCATTTTACATGGTCTTCGGCGGTCTAAAGATTAGGGACCCCAACTCGAATGGGGGGAGGCCCGTGTGCCCTCTCCTGTGTGCGGCCTTGCCGACACTACACCGCTCCCCTCCCTCCGCCATAAACGCACCGCTGCACTGCTAGGCGCCGACAAATACGGACCGGCGCCGCAACCGGCTCCCCCGCGGCCTGCCTCGCGTTGACATAGCCCTTCCCGAACACCAGTGTAACCCCCACGCGGCCTAGGTATCGCCGCGCCCACCTGTCCGCGGCGCGGCCTCTGATGGCGTATCGGATCATTGATGGTGCGATACATGTTTTGGTCAGATTTTCGCAATTAACGCGAAAAATTGCTTAAAACACTTTTTAAATTTCAAAATTAAAAAAAATAATAATTACAAAAAGGACGTGAAAGTGACCGTTTTCAACGTGTAAATTTAAAACGCTCTAGCGCAGCCATTTTTGAAGAAATCGACTTCAAATTTTGCACACGTGTTCATCAACCATATTTGTTTAACATATATTTCGGTTTTGTGAAAATTTTGAAAATTTCTTATATTTTTCTCTTGAGAAAGAGGTAAAGCTTCGCTACGATCGGCCTTCCGATCGACCGAGAAGATTCGTAAAGTTAGTTCGTATCTTCACCATTTGCGATACAACTTGCGTATCTACTTAGCCTACGATGTGATGGATCCCTCCAATATCTGTTCCGATTCAACTTACGTTTGATCGCAACTGCGAGGTGCCTTGCGATTACATGGATCCCCCCAGCCTTACATTATAGTTGGGATCATGTTTGCTTCATTAGACTCATTTCTACGTAAGCATGACGACAGAAAGTTGCCGCAAAATAAACAGCCAACGAGACGACCAGTCACGTTGCCAAGGCAAAGCTTCTTGACTTTTGGTGGTTATTACACGTGAAAAGTGCTTCATGCTACCGCCCAGCATCATGAATGGACGCAAACTCACAACTTTAGCTACTTCAGACAGAGTAATCTGGGGCCGATTCGAGATGGTGCACTAGGAAGCTAGTAAGACTAGGCGGCCAAGTGACACTTGAATGTAGTGACACTAAGCGGTATTTTACACCAATCGGCTAGTGGCTCAGCGCGAACCGAAATAGCATAGTGACGCTTGAAATCAAGTGTCACTAGGGCCTTAGTGCGCCAACGCGAATCGGGCTCAGTTTAACAAACTCAGCTTACATGCATGCTCTATAAAACTCAAAGATATTGACACCACACTGCACATCCCTGAGCGAACTTTTAAAACTTTCTGGCCCACAGCCGCCCAATATCATTTAATCAACTTCCCGTGGCCGGGCCAAAGCCAACCGTTCAGGAGGCGCCATCGAGACCATTCGTCAAGGGAGACTCTTCAAGATAACGTCACACACTTCAGTGTGGTGTGCCAACCAGCAAGATTGTAGGTGAAAGACGGATTTACGAGTTGGCGAACTTCTGCGAAACTCCACCGCAACCTACCAACTCATGTATTTATCAGTTTTATTAAGTTTTATTTCTTAAGGCAACGTTGATATCCTGACGCTTTTCAGTTTCCTGTCCAAATCCTTGCTAAACTAGCAAGCTAATTTACCTAAAGTGAAAAGCCTTAATGTATGCTGATGTTGCTACGCATAAAAAAATACATAACTAAATAAAAAAGCGCCATTTAGGCTATGTACGAACAAACGCGATTGAGCCTTGCACGAGCGCGGCACCAGTGCGAACTGAGGCACCCAAGGCCCTACATATATAGATGAGGCACCAATTACTGAGGGTTATCTTCTAACCGCTCCCCAATGACCCACCGACTTCGAGCGCAATCAGCCCAGCTGTTCTCGAGATGTGTTAACAAGCCTTGCACGTGCGCATGTGCAGTGGCACCTGCATAGTGCATAAGGTAAGGTCACTGAGCTCTATGGTAAGGTTCACGTCGGGTTAGGTACAGCAGATTTCTACTGTTAGTGGGTTGGTCTGGCAACTACTGTGGATTGTTCAAAGATTCACTGCATTTGGTAAGATTCGCGTTGGGTTAGTTGGAGCAGATTTTCCATGTTTGTAGGTAAGCCTGGCAACTACTGCGGTCTTCTCTCTAGTAGCCAGCTCACCTGGTCAGTC